TCGTTATTCTACGATAAACCATCGCTGAGATATACCGCTTTAAAGTGTGGACGACGCTCTCGTGACGTCACGAAAACTTCGTCCAGCGGCGCTCTGCATTGTTAATTTGATTGTTCCCGGCACGCGTGAGTGGTTTTTGTTTAGATTATTGCAGGTAACACAGGAAAAACATTATGTAAATTTAATTAAATCCACTTTCTCGTGCGTTGCTTGAGCTTTCGTGACGTCATAGGGTGAGATGCGGTACCTTCATAGAGCCATATCTGCGGTATTATTTGTCATAGAGGGGTGCGGATTTCACTGTTATTCTTAGATTTTTTTTCTCTTTTTTTTGAGATGAAGTTGTTTTTTTGGCGCACACCCCCTTTAAAGAATTTATTGCAGTTTCGACCAACGCAAATTTGAGCTCGCCTAATCTAAACGCATCTTGGAATGAAATTTGCTTTGCACCAGTCGAAAATCGTCTCTCTTGATGCTATTTCACCTTTTCCCGAAATCTCCAGAAACCCCCCATAGAAAATTGTGCACAATCTGACAACACCGCATCGAGGGTCTCCAGGGATGACCAAACCTATATTTATTCAATGGGTACAATGAATAAAAAATATTGATCTTTTTGATTCGCGAATCACTTCTAGTGCCTTCTCTTCTATCTTTAAAATACTAAATTTTTAGAAAGTTTAAAGTTGCAAAGTGAGGCAGAATTACTCAAAAAAAGAAAATGCGTAGGTAGGTACATGTTTTATAATGCTAAACTAAATATTAATTAGCAACCCTATAAAATAAATGAAATAGGTACTGAGACTTAAAAAAAAAATTGCCAAAAATTAGTGAATTTGACTGGATTACGAGGTTACAGTAACCAAGCAACGAACAATGATACAATTAAATGAAAATTGATTAGTCTTGAGGGGTTAATAAAGGGCGTAAGTCCCCCTTGAGAGACTTTAGCCCTTTTTTTATCGCGGTTATATATTTTATTAATTAAAAGGTAAACATGATAATTATTTTATGAATTTTGCTGTGTTGACAAAAACTCAATTAAAGCAAGAAAGAGGATAGAGATAAATTACCTATTTATATCATTTGAGAAAATGTTCTTTTTTGGAACTTGTAGTAGGTCTGTGCTGTTTTTTTTGTAGTTTACTCTCAGAACCTTTGGAACTCAGCGAGAGGCCATATGGAAAGTTTCTACACGGAACTACAAATGCACAACAACGCTGACTATTTCATTTTGAAAAAGAGGAATAATGGAATAAGTCGAACAACAATTCGAACGATTGGCAGCTATGAAATTAGGTACCTTCCTACAAAAAACAGCAAGGAATCATAATTTAGTCCAAGAAATGAGGCTTCGAGTCGTATTCGACATCACAGTCACAAACAATCACAATCACAATCAGAGTTACAGTTGCAGTTGCAGTTACCGTTACAGCCACAGTCATAATCACAGTCACAGTCATAGTTACAGTCACAGTTGGGTCAGGTCGTATCAGTCACGGAGTCAGAGTCACAGTCACAGTTACAGACATAAGGTCTGTTCTCATCAGAAATCACGAACCAGTCAGAGCATTTTTGATTGGTGGAAATCGCCATTAACCAGTTTGCTGACTCGTTTCAATCATTAAAATTCCCTCTGGGTCCTTATTCATGAAACAGGGGAGTAGCGTTCCCAGGAGAATGAGTGCTCCGCCTTTCTCAATGATATGCAAATATTATAAATAACAAAGACGGAATACCTACTTGTTCTCCTGGGAACGATGCTCCTCTGTTTCAAGAATAAGAATCCTGATAGGTTTATGATTTCTGTGTGAACAGACCTAGTCCGAGTCACAGTCGCAGTCATAGAAAAAGTCACATTCACACACAGAGTCAGAATCACAGTCAAAGAGGCACAGTCACAGCCACAATCACGGTCACATCCAAAGCCAGAAACAGCCAAAGCCACAGTCACCGTCACTTTTATCGTTACAGTCAGTCACAGTCACAGTGGTAGTAACAGTCACAGTCACTGTTCACACTTCACCTGTCACATTCACCGGTCGCCGGTCACCGGGGTCCGAACGCAGTCGAAGTCGGAGTCGCAGTCCAGTTACAGTCACAGTCACAGCCGGGTCAGGTCGGGTCGGAAGAAGAACAGGAAGAGAAACAAAGATAATCAGACTGAAATGGACGGAAAGTACGGGAAGGATAACAATGGATCGGTTCTACCGGAGTTTACACTACCCTGGAACGATAGAACAACAATGCATTTTTCAACCACTCGTCGGGTCGGGTTAGTTCCGGTTGGTCATAAGGTCTCTTCTCAGAGAAATCAAAATCCAATCAGAACGAATTTCATTGGTTGAAATTAGTCAGAAAACTGGTTGTTGGCGATTTGCACCAATCAAAAACGCTCTGACTGGTGTGTGATTTCTGTGACAACAGATTTTTAGTCTGTCTTTCTTCTTCTCTTAATAAATCGTCTTCTCTGTTCTGACTTCTGGCCTGAGGTCTAATCAGAGCCGCCATCCCTGGCCGTTTATGCAGGCAATCGATAATAATTTGCGTGCACAAACGCGTGAAAATTGTATTCCATCTGCCAGTGGGCTTGGAACGCATCCTACCTTTTCCCTGACCCCTGTTGCACAACCACTCAATTAGTGCTTTCGAGCCCAACTAAACTAAACAATAGGCCACTTTCACATTGTTCAAAAACATTTTTAAATTATTCTTAGTCATTCTAATCTGTGTAGGTACCTAAACTTTTTTTTAGCTCACAAACCGTAATACTTACAAGATTTGGTCCCATTTAAAAGTTCACTATGCTAATGCATTCCGGTTTCGAGCTTATGAGCTCTCGCCCCAGTGCAATATCAGCGAAAGCATACCAACTCAGAGAAACAAGATGCCAACGATATGATTTAGAATTTATAGGAATATCTAAACCTTTTATAGCGTTTAGAGTGGTTTAGCTCTATCCAAATCTCACAAAGCAAAACCAAGAAACAACCCGTTTGGGTCCCAAAGCTCGAAGCCGTAGCATTCAATGCTTGAGAAATAAAGTTCTCTCCGTCTTATAGAGTAAAACCACACGTATTGCCCGTATTGGGTAATCTGGCCGATTAAATACTTGCCTTTTTCCCAAGAAAATCTTTCTTTGGTATATATTTTAACTATAGGTAGGAAACTTAGATTTTTAGGTATATTTGGAAATACTAATCATACCTAAATGAATCATATCTGGATATCTGAAACTTATGTGGCCGTGCTGTGTGCAAGAATCCTGTTAGATATCTGTTAAAAACGAAGCTCCGCCTGAAAGTCAGGAAAGTCGCTGTGCTTCTCAAATTAGCATATATATTTTTTTGAAATCAAGTCAGATTTTTGAAGGCGATATAATATCACCTAATAAGCTGTTCACCCTCGAAAATGTGTTCAAGGAACTACATTGGAAAATAGAGGGATCAATATATTATGTATATCTAGAGAAAACCTCAATAATTTAAGATTCGCTTATGACATCGTGATATTCGCCCCGAGCGCCACAGAGTTAGAAATAATGCTGAAAGAATTACTCCAAGAAGCCAAGAATCGGATTAGAAATGAACATATCAAAACCAGAGTTTATGACAAAGGAGCAAACAGATAGGGACGCAATAACCATAAAATACCAACAGGTAAAAAAAATAAACTCCTACACTACAAGTATATCTAGGATAGGAAATAACGCTTGGCAAAGTCAATCAAGAGCTTGAGATTAATAGGAGTATACGACTGAAATGAACGGCGTATGGTAAATTGCGCCATATACATATATACTATGTGAGAAAAAAAAATGCATCAGTCACTAAAAGAGTAGTATATAAGCTGTGATATTAGTATTAACAAATTTTCTACATATGTTACTGGTGTAGAAAATAATAATTATTGATTAAATGTTACTTTATTTTCTAATGCTTTATTGAATTAAATTTTACTTTCAATAACCCCAGCATATATACAGAATTTGGTTAACAAATATTTATACTTCTATGGGAAGATGCGTTTTTTGTCACACAGTTTATTTCGGTTCAAATTACCTTTGAACCTGAAAACTAAAGTCTACAACGAATGTAGGTATTCTGCCAGTAATTGCTTATGGAAGGGAAACATGGACTGTCACAAAGAAGATCCTAAATAGGCTTCAAGTAATGGCGATTTCAATTTGTCAATCAGTGCGCACTGAGTGTATCCCCATCTTTTTCTAAAAGCATGTAACATGTAAGGATATGGATACATTTTTTTTGCTATAAATCAGAGAGCAATCGATTGGAGAATAGGTAGTACACTTATGGCCGTTTCCGCCAACCATTTTAGGGGAGCCCTAACGATAAGTATTCCCTAAACTGAAATTTCTCTATGTAAAAATGTCATTTTATGGAATACTTACCGTTAAGGCTCCCCTAAAATAGTTGGTGTAACCGGCCATTAAGGCCGGTTTACACTTTGATTAGTAGCATGTGCAGGTGTGTCTAAGGTCGAAGACATTACACATAGAATATGCACTCTCAAATGGAATTGGGTCGGCCACGTAGCGAGAAACACAAGCAACAACTGGAGCGGAAAAGTAACAATATGGAGACTCTGGGGGGAACGAAGAAGCGTCGGCAGACCTCAACAACGGTGGTACGACATCAAGTGAACAGCAGGACTAAACTGGTACCATATCACACAGAATAGAAATAGGTACCTGGCAAAATCTGGGAGAGGCCTATATCCAGAGGATAGAGAACGGCTAGGAAGAAGAAGAGAATCTCAAGTAAAATTTTATACTACAAATAAAGTGTACCTATCCAAGTTTTGCAGTGATAGGTATGTTATCACATGTTTATAAGTCTTAACCAAGCATCTTCACATAAAAATCCCAATGCTCAACGTCGACTAAAAAATGCTGAATCTTGCATCAGGATTTATTAAAACAATGTTACATTTTTCGATCTGCTTACGAGTAGGTAAATGAAACATTTCAATATTGTAATATAGAATATATTTTACTCATCGACATTGACACAATAAATAGCTTATATACCTTAGAAATTACAACACAACTTAAAATTATATAGGTACAGAATAATGATCAGTCACTACTCCGTTCAACTTCCTGATCGAATCTGAGTCACTCAAGCTCCTATTCAACTGCCTTCTGCTTCTGAACAGACTGCTAACTATTTTATAGGGACTCAATTTATGACTGGTTTTTGCTTCATTTGCACATAGGTGATTATTTGGCTTTTCATCTTCCGTTGGTTTGTTGTTAGGCTCACAATCCATTACAAAAACTCCTTTGGATAATTGAGGAGAGGATTTAGAGTAATTTTTCAAAACAATTTTAGGAGAATTTTTATGTGATCGTATTACTTCGCTCAGACAAGTTTCTTCAATAATGTCTTTAGATGGAGGAAGGCATTCTAGCATATATGGATCTTCTGAAGATTCGTCTATGCTTGAAGATTCTACATATGCATGATTGACTTCCTTCAAAAGTCCAGCTTTATATGGAGTTGCTGGACGTATCATTAAAATCGTATCATGATGGCTAGATTCAATATCTTTGGAAGAATCTTGAGAAGAAGGGGCCGAATCTCTCCCAGAATCTTCCGCAATATTCCAAATGCTTCTATTCAGCTTGCCTGTAGGGGCAGCTGCAAGCATTGCGGAATTTTTCACTATCACTCCAACTTTCGGGCAATTTGATACTTTCGTTGGCAACTCAAGATTAGGTTTAGAAGAATGTCTAAATTGAGCTTTTTGGCTATAATGCGAAGCATATTTGGGAGGAAACTGATCGCAGCATTCTTGCTTGATTCCAAATAGATTACAAAAAAAAGTCTTAAGCGCTGCACGGAAATCTTTTAAATGGTAGGCGTACAAAAGCGGATTTCCAGCAGAACTTAAATGAGATAATATTATGCAAAAGTACATGACAGTTGAATCTACGTGGAAGTCTTTATAAAAAGCTAGGATACAGTTGATAGTGTATAAAGGTATCCAGCAAATCATGAAAAATAATACTATAATGGCTAGATTTTGGGTCGCTTTCACTTCATTGCGCTGATGAACACCTAGCATCCTGATCATCCCTCCTGATGAGATATTCTTGCATTTTTTATTTCCGTCATTTGGGTTTATAACGACGATTTGTCGGACCTGCAATAAAAAAAAATTGCTTTTTAGTCCGTTTATCTATTCTCTTAGGGGGTTGAAAAGTTGTTAGAAAAACGTTTTTTTTTATTTATTTGTAATAAAACAGAACATACTGACCTGTTTCAACACCACCCTATAAATATGGGCATAAAAAGCAATCAAAACCACGGTTGGTGTGATGATCGTCCCAACATATAAAAAGACCAGGTAGTTGTAATCCATGACATTCAGAAAGAAGCAGTCCACCGTGTTCGGTCTATCTTGGTGCCAACCCATTAGAGGAAGAAAGCCTACCAGTGATCCGGCGAACCAGCAAATACTGATTATAACTGGAAAGAACAGAAAAACTCTATTAAAATTAAAAAATATTGAAGTAGTTGGGTAGTGAAAGGTGAAAATCAATAACTTAATTATTTGAATAATCTTCCATTGGAAGCAAAAAAAGCATAGTTTTTGTTCAGATAATCAGCATCAGAGTGCAAAAACAATATCGCATAATATTATTAAGAGTAGAACTATATTACTATCATATGACGTTATTTTACGTCATTATGATGGAGATAATTTCTCAATTTATCATTCTCGATGGCGAGATTGTTGATCCATCCAAGCGCGAGCATCACTGGCGTAGCCAGGGGGGGGCAAGGGGGCATTTGCCCCCCCCCCAAGACCCTTAAATTTTATGAATAATTCTTCAAAATTGAAATAAACAGTCCCAAAGATAGCGTAAAGAAACCTAAAAAAGGGACGTGGCACCCAAAAATTTCGCGCCTGCGGCGCTTTGCCTCTAGCAGCTGTCGCGGCGGGGCCGCAGGAAACACTTCCTGCAAATTTGCCCCCCCCAAGACAAAATCCTGGCTACGCCACTGGCGAGCATTCAGGAATTCCATTGTGTCATTTAAATAAACAAACATTTACGCGATTCTAGAGATTTCTCGATTGAATATTTTTTTTTACGAAAATTGTTAGTTTAAATAATACGATAATTGTTCATTCAAACATGCCTGGGATTGGGAAATCTAAATATATAGAATTTTTCGTGAAGCAGAGTGTGGAAATTTGAAAAAACCGAAATCGGCTCCAGGAAGACCTAATGTGGTTGTCGACGAATTGGCTAAAACCAAAATAAGAAAAAAAGTACATGCGTTTAATTTTAAAAGGAAATCTCGACCTTGGATAACGTTCTGGCTGACATTAAAAATGATGGAAGTGTGCCTGAAATCCAAAAGATAAGTTGTGGAAAATTTTACGGGAAATGAACTTTAAGTATGAAAAACAAAATAGAAAATCACTGCTGATTGAGAGGACTGACATTGTCTGTTGGAGGAAATACATATTTGAAATCGATCAGAAAATTCCGGAGTGGAAATAGGATATAAAATATATTATCTAGACGAAACCTTGTTAAATGAAGGCTATACACAGTTGAAAAAATGTGGCAAGATAAAAATATAACTTCATCTCGTCCAGTTTTTATCGAGGCGGCCTATAAGATTTCCGAAGCAAAGATTAGAACTGTGTCGTTTCGTGAAGAATATAAGAGCCAATGAGAGAAATTAACGATCAGAATCAATCTGGAGTACTTAAAAGCGAGCATTGAATGTTACCGCTGTGGGAGAAGGAGACATTTCAGACGTGATTCTAGAGTACAATTGAGATATCGCTTTTCTTTAAATGATTCTCAGCATCCAACTGAGATCTTGCTCTTCTTCTGATGTCTTTCAACTAGGGCTTTGCAAGCCACAAGACTAGTCTTGGTCTTAGTAGCAAAACCAAGACCAAGACCAAGACCAAGACCAAGACCGAGACCGAATAAATCTTCTCAAGACCAAGACCAAGACTTGACGTTCAAGACCAAGACCAAGACCAAGACTCTCTCTCTCGAGACTCTCGTCTTGGTCTTGGTCTTGAAAAGAAAAGTTGACTCAATATTTCTAAAAATATGCAAATTACCTTTGTCTGGCCTGAATGCTCAGGTAGGTAAGGTAGGTTTATTCTTATGGTTCAAATAAAAAATTATTTTTTTCCTCGGTACAGAATGGCAATTTTATGGTGTGTTTGTCAACTTTCCTGTTCTGTTAATAAAAATCCTAATAATTTAAGAATTGATGTTGATTTGTTCTTCTTGCTGGTAAAAATAGCCTGTGAAGAAGACCAAATGCATAGTCGAAACGACGGCATAATTTTTTCAGAAAGGGAGTTTTATTTTCTATTTCTGAAGTCCTAAATCCATTATCTCTGCTCTGTCGTTATATGTTATGTATATTTTAAAAATTTGGTAGGTATACTTTTTTTTCAAGACTATCAAGACCAAGACCAAGACTATCAAGATCAAGACTGCGCCAGTCTTGTCTTGGTCTTGAAACATCAAGACCAAGACCAACACTGGCCAGTCTTGTTTTCGGTCTTGGTCTTGCGAAGTCCTACTGTCAACCTTCGATTGGGAACTTGCTACGTCGAGCATGTCCAGATCATGACAAGAACTGCCTCAGAATTGATCAGCTAGAAAGAGTTCCTGTTAGAAGCTTTCAATTGGATCAAGAATGGAGTCCCGAACAGCTGGAAAGTGAACGACTAGAAGAGAGTGACCTCGACATCGAATAATTTTTCGAGAAGCCGGGGAGATATCGATGAAATGTAGAAAAGGAAAATCCGGCAAGTGAAGAAAGAAAAACGAGGAACAAGAAAATTGGTTAATTACGACTGATGCTGATCCAGAAGGTCAAAGTTAGCCTTCGAACGGCCGCTTTGCGAATTTTCATGAAGAGGAGTGCTACGAGTGCTGCGCCCATCCACGAAAACGCAGGAAAGGCAGTTGGCAGCATCGTCTAGCATCCATGATGTCATTCCAAGGGAAGAAGAACCACGCATACATGCTTGTAGATCTGAGAAGTTTAAGAAGGCCGAGCGGTCTAAGGCGCTGCGTTCAGGCAGTCCACTTAGACAGACATAGAGATGCTAGGCAAGAGAAAAGATTAAATCATTATGGATCTGAGTGGAGATATAGACGAAGAGAGGAGGTGGGTGCGTCTTGGTAGAGATTTCAGAGGGAGGCAGTGTTACGAAATTGCCTCGGGAGCTAGACCGGATTCTAAGATGCATTTGTATGCGCGTCGCCTGAACAATTCGGAGAATTCTATTCAATTAGGGAGCCGGGTTTTTCTAGATAAATCCTGAGTACACTGTCTACTATAAATAGCGCATGGTAGTAACGTTAGTAAGTCAGTTTTAATGTGCTAAGTGAATTTTATCAATTCAGTTAGTTTATTAAAAGTTTTTACTATGTTTGTGAAGTGAGTTTTAGTGAATCCGTGGCAGTTGAACCATATCGAATGCTTTATAGGGACAAAAATTCTTCATTCCTCTTATTCAAATATGCCTAATCATCCATAATAATTGATTGAGCTTCCATGTGAAATTATTTGCGATAGTTAATCACACGTTGAAAGCTCAAATAAACGGAACAGCTACGCGACCATGTCACGTTTCGCTGTGAAACTCTAAAACAATATGCAAAGACGTATTTGTCTTAGCACGCATTGAACGTGTATAATGCTAGGCTTGACATAAGTACACAAAATTATTAGTTTTGTATATTGTGCATAGCAACTGGGGTGAGTTATTGAAATTCAAAGCAAGCTGATGCCATTACCAAAAATTTATTTGGATTATGTTCTTGCCTGTGATATTGGTGAGGCTTTAGTCAGAAATTGGCATAGATTGAATTAACATACATATTTTTCTTGAATTGTGAATTATCGAGTACATATTTTCTTAATGAGTGTTTTTAAAAAACCCCATCTACAAACTGTTACATGTTACAACCACTATACAGAGTGTACGAAAAGTAACGAGACGTTCAATTATCTCTGAAATTAAATCAATTAAAATTTGGTAACCGTACCCCTACCTCTAGAAGTTGGACAACCCGACTTAATGAGGAATTTGCAGATTTTTTTTTTATTCTCTTATTAAATTTTTCACATTGTAAAAAGTCACTTGCCACATAAATTTTAAATTTTCAACTAATAGTTTTTTTGTAAAAAAATATAGAAATTCAAAATAACTCTCTTGGCGCCAAAACGCACTCATAAATGAATGACGTCACAAGACGGTATCCGTCAAAACGAGTATCTGTACTCCCTCTCTCTCTTACCCATTGTGTTTTGTCATTGGTTTATGCGACTATGTCGATCATTGTCATTTTCCATTCACTAAACAAAGATAGTGTTCCGTTGATTTTGGAAATCAATTCTCTTCCAGTGAACTCACACCCTATACATTAAGAGAGTGAAAGATATAGTGTAGTAATGATAGTAACAAATATATATGAAATAATTATAACAATAGCTAACTCATCGGTGAAGTTGCCGATTAGAATAAAAACAAGGGGTACCTATCTTTGTTTAGTTAACGGAAAATGACAATGACCGACACAGAATGCTGAATCCATCGGTAGAATTCGATGTAAACACAAGCGTCTGACGGCTCACGTATCACGTTATCATAACCACACTTTTGTTAGTTTACCGTTCCATGACGTCATAACCAATTTGAGAGCGTTTTCGCGCCCTTTGTTATATTCAATATTTGAATAATCAATTATTTATTAGTGGTTCAGTATAAAGAGGATTTGAATATGGGAATATACTTCTAGAGTATTTTGCTTCACTTTAACTACATTTTGCATCAAAATAAAATTTTATGCAACTTCCTCATTCATACTATAACTGTATATTCTAACACCTATATACCAGTCAAAAGTTTAGTTTTCATCATTCTGTCAAATTTTTTGAAAAGAATGTTTCTCTCTTCACAAAAAAATGTATAACTATTAGAACTCAACTTCTAGTAAGTAGTTTAATTTCAATTATTGTCTGATATTATTTTATTTTATTTTATTTTAGTATAACTGAAGAAGCTATAAGATATATAGCGAAAGCTTTTATAAGAGAAAAAATAGTTTTTCTTTTGATTTGGCCGTATCCCCACTAATTATATCAACTACATTATAAATATAATATACATATTATACATATATGCATAAAGATTTTCCAGTCAAGTGTTCGATAGAGTACCTAAATCATAAATTATTACCATGTGTGGAATCTGAGGTACATTTTTAGGCTGGTTGTAATCTTACGTAATGGATCGACGATAGTTTGTAAAAATTACCAACGATATTTTAAAGCGTAGGTATAATGTCAGGGGTCGCTTAACTTGCCATTTACCCCTACTGTCATTTAACATTTTTGTTGTTGACAAACTTATCAATTGCTTCTGAAATTCGTTTATGCCTTAGATTTTCCACTATTACAGCAGAACTTTA